TGCCTTGGAGCCCTTTAGAGTTCTTGGCTCTCAAACTGCCCAGGAGATAAGAGCACTGGTTTTCATGCCCAAGCAGGCCTTGCCAGCACTGCAACAGCCCTGTCTTTTTTACCACTAGGCAGCAACAAGGACTGCCTGCATTCTGCCCCCCCGCAGCAGGGGTGACCCATCTGTTTTCCCACTTACCACTGCAGTCCTGTCCTCAGTTCCTCTGGGTGGCTGGCAGCCTGCAAGCCTCACTGACATCTCACTGCTGTGTAGGCATCAGGGAAATAGCTACTCTTTTTCCCTCCGCTTCTTTTTTTGGGGGGAAAAGAGAGCAGAGCACAGAACTCTGGGATAAGACAGTGGTCTCCAACCTTTTTAAGTAGATCACTTTTCAAATTAAAGCAACTCAAGATCTACTATGCACCACCCTCCCCTTCTCCACCCACCTAGCAGGTCAGTCTGTGGGAGGGGGGGGGCAGATCAAGGCAGAGGGAGAAAAAATTATCTGGGGGCATGCCCCCCAGCAGGTAGATCTGTGGGGACAGGGCAGGAGCAGGGGCTGGGCAGTGGGACAAGTGGAGGTCCGGGGGAGGGCAGCTACAGCAGCTGTGAGGGAGGGAGTGGGGCTGGGGCAGGCCCTGCACAACCAGGATGGGACGTGGGATGGAGCCATGAGCAGCTCATCCAGGGGATGTGGGAAGCGGGGGCATGTAGCCCAGGAGGGCGGGGGGGGGTGACCCCAGATCTGAAAGTAGGGTGGGGCAGCTGGGCTGCTGCCAGGCTCTTCACAGTGCGGGTGTTGGACTGGGTTGTGCTCAGGCCAGGTGGCAGCAGTGCTGGGAGCAGAGCAGGGCAGGGCTGCAGCCACCCAAAAATTCACTGTAGTCCCCTCAGACCTCCAACCCACCCTTCCCAGCGCAGCTGCCACCTGCCCGAAGCTCAGCGTGGCCCAGTCTGCAACTGCAGCCTGCCCTCCTTCATGTGCAGATTCTGGGCACAGCCCCCATGCCCTTGGGTGGGAAAGGGGCAGGGTGAGGGGAAAGCTGTACCAGGCTCTTCCCGGTGGGGGGGCTGGGCTATGGCAAATTTTCAGGTGGCTGCAGCCTCTCCTGTAGTCCCACTCCCTGCACTGCCACCGCCCAACCCAAGCACAGCCCAACCCAACACCTCTGCCAGGAAGAACCCAGCAGTCCCCTGGCTCCAGCCATCCCTGCATGCATATGCCCCCCATGCTGCATGACCTCCCCCCCCACCTGTGGTCCCCAGACAAGTTGCTCACTAAGGTGGCCATCATAGAGGGCATTCCAGTTTTCTGCTACTCTGTCCACTATTGATTAGAAACCCCAATGCCTTTATGTCCTCTATTTTTCTCTTCAAG